CATCCCGGCGTGCTCCCCACGCTCATCCCTGGAGCAGGCCACAGGCCCCCTGTGGGCGTAGAGTTCCCGCCTTCCATGGGTTCTATTCCCAGCCAAGACACCTCATGTGCAGCCTCCGGCGTCTGTCCACAGAGGTCTGCATGCTGCACAAGTTCTACTGAGGCCTCCAGACCAAGAGGGACTAGAGGGAAAGGCCTAGTGACCCACTTTCAAAATCAGCCAGTAAAGCCACTCTGGGCCACGGCAGTGTGACCCTGGCCCATCGTGAGGGTAGCACAGGACTGGGAAGCATTTGGAGCCAAACTCTCGTCAGGTTCACACTGAGTCAGGGGCCAACTCCAGGGCAGGTCACACAAGGACTGGGCAACTGTCCCCAGGCCCAGCTCACCTAGATCACCTGACCCTCTCTCCCCCTGCACTGGCCTTCCTAGTCCATCACCCCAACTAGATGGTCAGCCCCTCCAAGGAGGTAAATGTCACCCAAGTCCCTGAGTGCCTGCAAAGGGACAAGACTCGGCAGGGGTTCAGGGAAACGTGCAGAGCTCCCGGCCTGTCCTGTGAGGGACACAGTACAGTGCACACTCGGGGCTCAGACACAGAGCTCACGCAGCACGCACACAATGCACACACACGGTGCACACACTGTACACACACAGCTCACACGGTGCACACACACAGTGCACACACGGTACACACAGTGGACACACGGTACACACAGTGCTCACACACAATGCACACACAGTGTTCACACGGTGCACACACGGTGCTCACACAGCCTGAGGGGAGTCGCACGGCTGAAACACCAGCTGAGGCTCTCTGGTCTTTCCAACCCACCAGCAGCCCCGAGGAAGGACGGACACCGTCCCTCGTGAGAGCCACAGCCTCTGGAAACCCACCGGCAGGGCAGCAGGGTGAGGCAACAAGATGAGCTGTGTGAGGTGAATTCCCACCCAAGGCAAAGGCAGCGCGCCAGTGACAGGAGCAGTAACACCGGCGGAGTGAGCTCTGCTGCCGGGTTCCCAGCATGGGATGCACTCCACCGAGGCTCCGAGGGGGACAGCAGTACCCTCCCGTGGGATTCCCAGCCTCGGACAGGCGATGGGGGCACGGGGAGCTGCAGCCCCCCTCAACGCCAGTGAGGTGAGTGTGGGGTTTGAACCACAGAGAGGAAAGTAGGAGACTCCTAAGCCAGTTCACTCAAGCCAACACATGTAACCTTCAAAACTCAGCAGGAAACAGATGATTGTCTAGAAAAATATCATAATTAAAACTGACTTCAGAAGAGAGAAAAAGAAATCTTCAGTAAGTAATCACAAGACTGAAGAAATGGACCAAAGCCTCGTCCTGTGTGGAAGGCACATGTCCAGACACCTGTATGGGGAGGCTCCCGCACATCTTCAAAGAGCCGGTCATTGCCATGCCCTCTGAACGGCTCAGGGGACACAGAGAGCAGACCCTCCAGCACTCTGCTACGACACAAGTATGACACCAAAAAACTAGAGCCTTGTTCAACAAAGACAATTACGAACCACTCTCACAACAATATAAACTGTCTCGGTAGGAACACTAACAAGCCAATCCAGAAGAGAATAAGTGTTATTATGAACAAGTGAGCTTGTTTCATGTCTGTCAGAATGGTTCCTTTTCTGCGATCTAACAGTGCAGTTCATTACTCACAACAAATTGTTAGGCTAACCTTGAGAAGAATGGGAATCCCAGAAAACTTGATTGTGCTCAGGAGAAACTTAGACCAGGACGAAGTCCTCAGAACAGAGCAGGGAAATAATACATGGTTCAAAATCAGGAAAGGAGTGCATCAGGGTTGTGTCCTGTCTCCATACCTTTTCAATCTATATGTGGAACAGATCATTTGAGAGGCTGGATTATATTGGAAGAAGACTCATCAACAATCTGTATTATGCAGAGGATATAACCTTGCTGTCAAAACTGAGGAGGACCTGAAGCATTTGCCGCAGAAAGTCAAAGACTGTAGTCATTAACAGTTGCCGCAAATGACGGTAATACATCGGAGGAAAAAAAAAATGTGTTTCTAAGCACAGTCGTCAATTTAAAAGTGTGCGGCAATGTGTTAATATAGACTGAAGCTCAGAATCAAGAAGACAAAGATTCTCACCACTGGGCCAGTTGGCAGCACCATGATAGATGGAGAAGAGATTGAGGGTGTTAACAATTACAGCTCGCTCAGCTCCACAATCAACACTCTTGGCACCAGCAGTCAGGAAATCAAAAGATGAATTGCACTGGGAAAAATCTGTGCTCAGGAACCTCTCCCAAATATTGAGAAGCAAAGATGTCAGTCTAGAGACTAAGGTGCACCTGATCCAGTCCATGGTCTTCACAAATACTTGCTGTGCATCAGAGAGCTGGACAATGACTAAGAATGACAGAAGAATTGATGCCTTTGAGTTGTGGTGCTGGAGAAGAGTACTGAATATACCATGGACTGCCAAGAGAACAAACAGGTCTGTCTTAGAGAGGGTGAAACCAAGTTTCTCCTTGGAGGCTAGGATTTTGAAGCTGTCTCACATTCTTTGGGCCAGGAGGGACTGGTCCTTGGAGAAGGACATCATGCTAGGAAGG